GTGTCTCCATCTAGGGGTAAACAAACTGAACCACACATAAATGAGATCTTTGCAGGCTCTCAGTGCTTCATGTGTTTGGTCTCAGCCGGAGTCTGTACATCTTGGAACACCCCGACTACTGCGCTCATAAAGTAGAAAGCTTTACAGCTCAGCAACGGTTCTGGTACTGATCCAGCTGTGGACTTAGTCACTGAAGGATCAACGTTTTCACAGACAGGCCTGTAGCGAGGTGAGATCAGGTAAACTAAGCCTTTCTTAGTGCATGCTCACAAAAGAGCTGTGAAAGAAATACATTTGTGCTAAAAAAAACAAATGTAACTTCAAAAATGTACACAGAAACATTTGTTGGTACCCTGTAAGCTCTTATAAACAAGACAATTTTGTTCAAAGCAAAAAAAAAAAAAAAAAAAGCCTGATGTATATCTGCATGCCTTTAGTGTTGTGGGCACAGTTCTGCTTATCCGCTAACAGCTAATAACAAAGCTAATTTTTGTTTAGCACAGGGCTATTCAACTGATGGCCCATGGGCCACATCCGGCCCGCGGGTGACTTCAGTCCAGCCCACCAATGAGTTCATGTTAAAAAAAAAACCTTTTTTTTTGTTTCTGTGTTTGGTTTTTGTTTATTGCATTTATGATTCAGTGCAATAAAACAAACACATTTTAAAGGTAACAGAGCATTGTAATACTTGGTTTATTTACAGAATTACTTTAATTGCTGAATGTCCGGCCCCTGAGCTGCTGGCTTTCAGAAACTGTGACTCCCTGAGCAGTTTAGTTGAACAGCCCTGGTTTAGCAGATTAATGTGTTCACTAACTTTTCTTAACTGTTAGCGGAAATAGCTTCCGCTGTATAAAATTTCGCCAACTAGCTAACAAAATTCACAAGCTTGTTCCTGTCTGTTGTGGGCGTGTCTTGAAGAGTCTGTTGGGCATGCAGATTGGTCGACAGTCGTCTGAGCGATTAGTGGTTTAGCGGTAGCTTACGCTAATTTTCTTACCTGTTTAGCAGTTTACTGTTAGCAAAGCTAATTTTCTAGTTATTGGAATATGAATTATTGAAGCTAACTTTTTAGTTAGCTGTGCCAGCACTGATTTTGGCTTTTATGTTTGTGAATGTTCCTGTAAAGTGCCCTGAGACAACTTTGTTGTGATTTGGCGCTATATAAATAAACTGAATTGAATTTTCTCAAATGACTGGGGTGGCTAGAGATTAATTTATGGTTGCCAAGGCCACTGTTTGGCACCCCCCAGCTCCACCATTGTGCCTGGTCCAGGATAAAATTGCTGAAAAGCAAAAAAAAAAAAACCTACCTCTGTTTTTTCACACAGTGTAACTCTTACACACTTTAATATCTTGCACCAAAAACATTAAGGTTTACTTACATGCCCAGTTCAATTCATGTCCAGAAAAACACTCATCTCAAAAATTACAAATGTTCAATATTCAAATTCTTCAATGTCGAGGGACATCAGTGTACTACTTGTTTAATTACCTCCAAATAAGTCCAACTTCCGGTAAGATGGCGCCCGTGTACATGGCTTGCAATCCACCTCTGCTGATGGTGTTCGGATTGTTTTTGTTTTTTGCATTTCACATCTGTGACATCAACTCTCTCCTGGTGTATGACAGACAACAACTTTTGGATCTTCGTTTTTCTGTCACTGAAGTTGCTTATTTTGACCATTATCAGCGTACGTCTGGACCCCCCCCCTCCCCCCCTGCTGGTGGACGTGCCAGCTTACCTTCGCTGCGCTCCTCATCTGCCTGCCCGGAGATCTCGCTTCAGACGCCGGGGAAAACGTGCTGGTCAGCTGGTGAAGCTGAAAGCTCTGCACGCTGCATCTTCCTCTTCAGCTGGCAGTCATGGTCTCCAGCTTCCCGCGTGCCCGGACCAGGTAACCAGCGGGAGTTGTCAGTCGTTGCGCAGCTCGGACCGACCTGGAGGGGCTGTTATTGAAAACCTGCAGACATTAGCGCACGCTAACTTAACCATTGCTTTCTCCACTTCGGACAATATCCGGATGTGTTTGGTCAACGCAAGATCTGTTACCAACAAAACTTTTATCCTCAGGGATTACTTTCAACAGCACGATTTGGACTTTCTGTGCATCACAGAGACTTGGATGTCTCCGGGTGAGTCCAGCGCCTTGACGGAATTATTGCCACCGAACTGTCTGTGTTTTAACGCCCCGCAGCCATCAGGCCGGCGCGGTGGTGGATTATTAACAATATTCAAATCAACTTTTGACTGTAAACAACTGCCCATCCCAGTTTCCCACGCCAGCTTTGAGCTGAGCGTCTTTGAACTCGGACATTCACCTCCGATGTTATTTGCACTCTTCTACCGCCCACCTCGGTCTAAGGATTTCATAAATGAGTTTTCTGACTTCTTGGCTGAAATCACACCAAAATATGAGCATCTTTTCATTATTGGGGACTTTAATTTGCACGTGTGCTGTCCTGAGAAGCCCTTGGTTAAGGACTTTTTAGATCTATTGAACTCATTTAATTTAACTAAGCATGTAAACGGTCCCACCCAAGAGCGTGGACATACACTGGACCTTGTTTTAACTCATGATATGACTGTTAATAATCTTGTTATTAGTAATAATGTTTTCTCAGACCACATGCCAGTCAGGTTTGAGTTCACCCTCCCCCATCTAACTCCTAAGTCGTGCATTCCTGCACGTCGCACCCGGCCCATTAACCACTTGACTGCCGCACGTTTCACAGATGTTTATAACTTTGAAATGATCATTCAGCCCCCAGTGTCTCACCACCACTGAGGAGCTGACATCCCAGTTGCACCTGTTAAAACCAAAAAACAAAAACTCAGAGCAGAACCTTGGCTGAGTGACGTCACCAAGGCCGCTAGGCAGCAATGTAGGAGGGCAGAACAAAAGTGGAGGAAAGACAGGCTGCAGGTCTCTTTCCAGATACTTAAAGAGAGTTGGCGCTGTTATCAGAAAACAGTAAAAGCTGCTAAATCAAAATTCTTCTTTGATATAATTACCTCAAACTCTCACAACCCACGGGTCCTCTTCTCCACCCTAAACTCTGTTCTCCACCTCACTGAACCATCACCTCTGGAAGCCTCGACTGAGCTGTGCGACAACTTCCTACATTTCTATGTGGAAAAAATTGCGACCACCCGGGCTCTCATTTCCCCTCCAACTCATGACCCATCCATCCCACCTCAATCTGTAGCTCCATTTGACCATTTTGAACCCATCACTCTATCTTCTCTAGAGCAGGTCATGTGCAGCTTGAAACCTTCTGGTTCCCCCTTTGATGTGGTCCCCCCTCGACTACTAAAGGAGGTTTTTCCAACTCTAGGTCCGTCCATTCTTGATATAGTAAACAGTAGTTTATCCACTGGCGTGGTGCCAAAATCCTTTAAACATGCTGCTGTCCAGCCTCTCTTGAAAAAAACAAACCTTGACCCCTCAGTCGTTTCCAACTTCCGGCCTGACTCCAAACTCCCATTTGTTTCTAAAGTACTGGAGAAAATAGTCGAGTCCCAGTTGAAGTGCTTCCTGGAGGATCACACCACCTTAGAGCTTTTCCAATCTGGCTTTAAACCTCTCCACAGCACTGAAACTGCCCTGCTGAAGGTCTTTAATGACATCTTCAGATTCACAGATACTGGTGATTCTGTGCTGCTTGTCCTATTGGACCTCACAGCCGCCTTTGACACCATTGACCATGAGATCCTCATTGCTAGGTTGGAGCAGTGGGTGGGCATCACAGGATCAGCCCTCAATTGGTTCAGAGCTTACCTCACTGACAGATCCTTTTGTGTCTCCATCAAGGATTTTAGTTCCGCAGAGGCAGAGCTTAAATGGGTGGTTCCGCAGGGGTCCATACTGGGTTCCCTCCTATTCTTTTTATACCTGCTGCCGCTTGGTGCTATTTTCCGGAAACACAACATGCCCTTCCACTTCTATGCCGATGACTGTCAAGTTTACTTCCCTCTAAGACACAATGGTACATGCTCTATTCAACCGCTGCTCAACTGCCTGGCTGACATCAGGGACTGGATGGCTTTAAACTTCTTAAGTTTCAATGAAAATAAGTCTGAAGTCATGTTGTTCCCTCCCAACGACACGATCACAAACCACTGCATCGACCTTTCCACTCTAACCCTGTCAGAAAAACAAAGAGTCACTAATCTGGGGTGATAATGGACCCTTCCCTGAAACTTAACATGATTGTCAAATCATGCTTCTTCCAACTGAGGCGGCTGTCTAAACTGAAGCCCATTTTATCCAAAAATAACCTGGAGACAGTAATACATGCATTCATTACATCTAGGCTTGATTACTGCAATTCACTCCTGTTTGGTATCAGTCAGACCTCCACTGCACGACTACAACTAGTCCAGAATGCAGCAGCCCAATTTTTAACCAGTACAGGCAAAAGAGAGCACATTACACCAATTTTGGTCTCACTGCACTGGTTACCGGTTCACTTTCGAATCCAGTTCAAAATACTCATGTATGTCTACAAATCACTGAACAGTGTCGCCCCCCCAATCTCTCTGATTTGCTACAACCGTATGTCCCACCATGCTCCCTGAGGTCTGCGGACCAGATGCTCCTCACAGTTCCAGGAACTCGTCTTATGCGCAGAGGTGACAGGGCCTTCTCTATAGCAGGACCAAGACTCTGGAACGAGTTACCTCTGCTTGTCAGACAGGCCCCCTCCCTCTCGGTTTTCAAGTCCCGTTTAAAAACTCACTACTTTTCAATAGCTTTCAACACAAGATGATCTGTGTTTTGTTCCTGTATGCTCCACACTGGTTTGTCATCATTATCTGCATCGTTTTTTGTCTATATTCTGATTTACCTCATTTTGTATTTTGCTTTGTGTGTTACCTGTTGTTTTGTCTGTACAGCACTTTGGTTGGCCTTGTAGCTGTTTTAAGTGCTTTATAAATAAAGTAGTATGGTATGGTATGGTATGGTAAATATAACTTGCTGTTTTTTCATTTGCAGATTTTACTGTGAGACGAGCGAGATGCCTTCAAAACGTCTCAGCAGAAGAGAAGTGTACACTTCGCTGGCGTGGGAGGTGAGAATAGTTTCATCTTTCATTTCCTGCTGATCAGTCGTTTCATTTCTTCTGAGAAGTTTTACTGTACTTTTTATTTTGTCACCAAAATGAGTTCAGCTGCTCATCAGAATGAACTCATAGTTTTCCTGAATCAAATCCTCTCACAGAGGCACGTTTTGATGTTGGAAAGGCTCAGTTCGTCAGAATAGTTTGATGTGTGCATGAGTTTGTACCATATCAAAAATATTTAATTAAAAACAGAACGGAATAAGTAGGTTGATTGACTTTTGAGGTCAACTCGGTTCAAGATGGCCACCACGACAAATCTTAGCCAACGCAAAAATGGCTAAAGCTCTGTTAGTTTTCATATAATGAGCCCCCTGTCAGGGCTTAATTTGTAAGCTGATCAATGTCGGAATGCAAATAGCGGGCGGGCCGTCTGAGGGCGAGGGATGACAAGAGAAGAACCTTATAAGTTGTTTAATGACATAAAATATATTTCGTTAACGAAGAATAGAGTTGTAACATTTATTAAACATTACTTCTGTATTTACAAAAAAAACCCACATCAAAATTGTGCTTTGACAAACTCATAGATAAAACTGAAATGTTTTGTCAATGTGAAAGAGGAACAAGGGGGCAGGTATCACTCTCACTTTGAGTTTACTCTTTGTTGCATCATGCGTGCTGTGAGTGACAAGCGTCCAGAGCGTCTTAAAAACAGCAGCAGAGGTGTCGGAGTTATTTATTTATCGTCTCAGCAGCAGAGGGGAGCGACACGGTTCAAGCATGGCTCCCAAAACAACAAGGCGGTCATATTTGTTCATAACTTTATTATTAGGAAGACTGAGAAATACGAGCAGACAGTTGCCGGAACACACCCTATCAAAATAAGAGTCTCATGTAAATGAGTCCCCGAGGCTCAGTGGGATTAACCTGCATAAATAAAGGTTGAATGAAAAAAAAAAAAAGAGTTGCTGGATTTTCTTCCGGCAGGATCCGGCTCAAATTAAGATGCTAAATGTTGATAAAACCAAAGAGATGTTTTTTTTTTTTCCAAACAGGAAGTCTGTCCCAGCAGTCCTTCTTTCTATCTCATCTATGAATGGTGCTCCTATGAGTTTGTCAATTCCTACAAATATTTGGGTATCTTGGTCGATGCACATCTCTATTTTAAGCCTCATGTCAAAAACTTGGTAAAGAAACTGAAAGTTAAATTGGGTTTCTTTTTCAGAAACAGATCCTGTTTAACTCTGAACGCTAGGAAACGCCTTGTAACTGAAACTTTCCTTCCCTCCATTGATTACGGTGACATTATTTACATGAACGCTCCTACAAGCACCCTGCAGATGTTGGATGCTGTCTATCATGGTGCACTAAGATTCATAACTGGCTGTAACTACCGTACCCACCACTGCACCACTGGTTAACTGGTCATCATTAACTTCATGACTCTCTCACTGGTACATTTTCATCTTTAAATCACTTCTTGGTCTGCTGCCTTCATACATCTCCTCCTACATGTCTGCGTGAGTGCAGCTACAGCGTGCGCTCTCAGGACATTATTACCTGCAGTGTTCCCTCAGTGAGAACTGAACTTGGCAAAAGGACCTTCTCCTACTCTGCTCCTGTTTCCTGGAATATCTTACAAAAAGATCTGAAGTTCTTGACCTTGACCTCTCTAAGGGATTTTAAACATCTGTTAAGTTCCTGGCACAACCAACGCAGACATGTTCCTGTTTTTAGTTTTCTACATCGCTTCATAGTATAACTGTTTTTGTTTCATTTTTGTATAATTTTGTTTATTTTATATGCTTTTTTTTATGATTTTCTAATGTTGTTTGTACTTCATCTGTGGTTTTTGTCTGAAACAGGTCTCTATTGTAAATGAGTCCTTGAGGCGTAATGAGACTAACCTGTATAAATAAAGGTTGAATGAAGAAAAAATAAAAATCCAGAAACTCTGCTGCAGTTTTGTGTCTGACCACTAGAGGGAGCGCCAGTTAAAGGACCTGCAAGGTCAGTGTGTGGTTCTTCTGCTGCAGTTTGTGTAAAGTTCTGTTCTGCACTGGACCGGTGCAGTTTACAGAACCTGCACCTGCTGCATGTTACTGTAGATATGCAGCAGGTGTTAGAGGCTGTAAGAGTCCAACCGCTGTCAGTCTCGAACTTGTCATAATCAGAAGATATCACTTCTGAGAGCTTTTTAAATTGCAGGTTGTCCAACTTCCTGATAGCAGGGACTTGTTCTGCAATGATTATGATAAATGGAACCAAATTTTTTTAAGTTCAGTGCCTTTTGTATTTTTAGTTTCTCAGCTTATGAACAACTGTGAAGTTTGCTGCGTCGTCATTGTTGAGTTGAGGAGCATGTTTCTGTCCTTCATCCTCCACAGGTGGACAAATGTCACTAAGCGGTTCTGAAAAAAAAAGATTTAAAGTGTGAAACTTGATTCCAAAGAGTCGGGACTTGGTGTCAAATGTTAATAAAAACAATGATTTGCATATCTAATGAACCCATTTTTTATTAACATTGGAATATAGGAAACATGTTAAATGTTTAAACTATGAACTTGTATAATTGTTAAAGAAATAAGGTGATTTTTAAAGTAGTTTTAATTTTAATGACAACAATACATCTAAAAATACTTGTTTCATGGTCTTATTTTAACCAAACGTAGAAGAACTGATGAGATCAGCTGCTGAAGGTTTTACAGGAAAGCTGTCCCGTTCTTACCTGATGGACGACTCTAGAGCTGCTCAACAGGTCTGAGGTTTGTTTTCTGGTTTATGTTTCCAGACTGGACTGCAAACTGGTCCGTTCAGCACATGGACCCTTCTCCTCTGAAGCCATGCTGTTGTAATGATGCAGTGTGAGGTTTAGCGTTGTCTTGCTGAAATATGCAAGACCTTCCCTGAAATCAGAATGGGGGTAAGGGCCTTGCTCAAGGCTTTGGGTGGGGCAAATGAGAGTGGAGACAGGTGTGGGTGTTTCACCCTTCCCACCAACATGTGGGTCTTGTCGGTCTGGGGGGGTCAAGCCAGCGACCTCGCCTTCTCTAACCGCTGCGCCACCTTAGCCTATTTTTGGGGGTGCTCAAGCACCCCTGAAAATAAAGAAACCATCATTAGAGTTTTGTAAGAAACTCAGTTCTCAAATGTCAGTCGCAAAAATATTGAATAAATTTGGAATAAATGATGACGGTCTTAAACGGTTCACTAAAATCTGATTTTCTTTGTGCACGTGTCAGATCCTCAACGCCACCTGTCAATCAATCCATTAGGCTTGTCAGCAACTGACTAATCGGCCGTCTCGATTTGTCTCGAAGGTGAACGCCCCTGACCTACAGGAGCTCCACCCCCTTTTCCTCCGACAACATTGTAAGGGTTTTTCTATAGGGATGGTCAGAGATATTTCATAACAAAATCATCATGAAATGATCAAATGTTGTCAGTGGGGAACATGTCATTCACACATGTGTTTCCCTGAGACTTTAGAGGGTGGAATACATACAGTAGATATATCTACATGTAAAACACACAAAACTACACACATTACTGGTAACCTTTCATTTAACCATTAATCATTGTAATTATGAGAGAAAATGGAGGATTTACCTGCAGTTACCTTCGTACAGATGAACATGTGGTACGTCCTGTTTATCACTGTTGTATTTTTGCAAATACTGAGGATCTGGCTCAAATTAAGCCCTGGTTGTGTGTCAACGTCAAAGTTGAAATGTGGTCAAACCTTTTTATGAGTGGATGGACCCACGAGGCGACCTCCATGAATCAACTGTGGTTGTGTGTGATAAGACAGTCGATGTCATCAATCAGAGCTCAACAAATCCAACAGTGTCTCTGTTGATCTTCCCCACAGAGTCCATGAGTTTTATTCCACATAGAATCAAAGATATACTTTTTCACCCTTAAATTCAAATGTAGTTTTTTAATATATTTTTTTAACAGATCAAATCTTTTGCAGCAGTTTGGTTGTTCCTTTCTGATTTTTAGGAAAGTCACGTTGCTTCCATACTGAACAAACATCTAATCTGACTGAGACCTGAGCATGAAAAGGTGATCGTGTGAACGTTAACACAACTTTCACTTCATTGTTTTCATGTTGCAACTTTTTGTCTTGAAGGATTTTGGGCTCTAGCTACTTCCATCACTTCAGCCATTCAGTTTCTGAAACATTCAGCTCATTCATTTTTCATCTTTTAGCTTTTAGCTACAGTTTTGTTGGTTGGAGCTTTAAGGTGCTCCTTTGCTCTTTTGGGGTTCTAGCTACTTCTTTGCTAAATAAACTTTTAGCTGTCGTTCCCTTGGTTTGAAGCTTTTAGCTACTCTTTTGCTAAATTTACTTTTTTATTTTTTTTGCTAATTATAGCTATTAGTAACTAGTTAATTTCAGCTTTTTACACAGCTGTTGAAGGTGGATGTATTAAGATACAGTCTCCATCTGTCCATCCGTAAACATGCTCTTTTTCTAGATGAACTGTTGCGTACACTTCTCATCACCCAAGGTCAAGGTCACAAATCAAGGTCAAAGTTAAAATACAAACGTGCTTGTCCAGACCAGAACTTCTGCTCTGCTCAAGATAAATGAACAGAACTGTCAGAAGATTTTGGTCAGAGGTTATGGAGTTATGGATGTATTATTAACATTCTTTTCCTTAAAGCAAACAACCAAGTTGTCTCTCAGAACTCTGTTATCCAGAGGAGATGCCGCGGACTGGGTCTGAAGGTCAGGAGGGCCATGTGAGACTCCAGCTGGCTTCAAGCACACCCACTGAAACCTTGTCAAGCTGACAGGGATATAAAAAGCGAGCGGACATTACAGCATGTGCAGATCATTGTGACTGGGCTTCATGTGCGTACGTTTAATGCATATTTATAATATGTAATTTATTTTCATTTAATTAGCAGAGTGGTCGATATCTGGTCTTACAAGTAAAACATCACCTGCCGTGTGGTTTGTTTGACTAAACATCATTAAGAGCGTTTTCCTTTAACAA